AAAATGCGGCCCCTTACATCAGATACCTTTCGCCCAAAGGTCCACATACCAAAGAGAGAAGGACTACCTTGTTCTTATCTTCTTCACACTCGGGTTTGGACTGAATAATCGTGAGTGTGTCCGTCTGAGTCAATACGCCCGAACATTTTTTGCATCTACCGTCCACTATTTTGGACGTTTGGTGGAGTCCAATCGATTCGAGAACACATTAATTGAATACAGCGTATAGAAAATTAAAGAAAACGATACCCATGAGGATTCTTGATTCTTGATTGATATTTGTTCGATTTTTGGATTTTGGACGTTTTTTTCTGATCCGACCGATTCGATAAAAGTTTCATTGTGTTAAGCGCCTTGTGTGCACGTTCACTCAACATAATAACAATTAAAACATTTTTGCTTTTTGCATATTGAAAGTGGAATTGTAAATAAGTAAAGGAAAAAATATTATATTACGACATATTCCAATTAATTAAGGTTTATAGTTGAGATAAAAAAGTCAATGGCACGAGCGGGATTCGAACCCACGTTCTTCGGCTTGATACGCCGCTGCTCTACCACTTGAGCTATCGTGACCTCGATCCACTCGGACACTAACTTCCCATCTCAACCCCACCTTTTGAATTTTCNTTTCATTTGTCGTCGAGAATCCAATCCGATTACACGACATTTGAAAAATGGCAAAAAGGAGGGAAAATTCAAAAGGTGCGGTTGAGATGGGAAATTGGTGTCCGAGTGGATCGAGGTCACGATAGCTCAAGTGGTAGAGCAGCGGCGTATCAAGCCGAAGATCGTGGGATCGAATCCCGCTCGTGCCATTGTTTTTTTATCTCAACTAAAACCCTTAATTAATTGTAATATATTAATTGGTCAAGCGGACCAGGAAATTAGTGAATTTACGACATATTTTTAATAATCACAAATGAATTTGTGTTTGTTATGTAAAAAGAAGTTTATGGCTTTAACCCGAAAGATGATCGCGTAAAAAAATACATTTTCTTTTAGCGATTGTCGTGATTTTGCCAACGAACAGAAATCTTATAGAATTGCCCAGGGCATAGGAAAATTCCTTTCCTCTGTGTCCTCCGCGGAATTGCCTTACATTTGCCGGCTTTTTGTTAAACGGAGCCATTTTCCCTAACGAGCCGGCCCTCTCCCTGAATGGATTCGATCCTGAAAAGAGACTTCAGCCGAGAAAAGATGCAATAATACCAATTTTGTTAAGCTTATTAATTAACTTTCCCGGTTATCGGTGTTTTTAATGTAAAAAAAATTTCTTTACTAACAGCATTTTCTTCCGTTTTCCAAAACAAAAACAGCCCGTCAGAGTGAATTTAGAAATCCTTAGATTTAAAGTTAAATTAAATCGAAAAGATGAATACTCTCGAAAATGAAGGTAGATTGCCAATCACATTACCATTGCAAAATTTGAATCTATTTGTTGATTAACCGGAGAGGAAACTCTTAGTCATTTGATATAAATAAAACTCAATACTTAGCAGCGATTTATTATGACATTGTATAAAAACCCCTTCTGTTATTTCAACCATCTAATTAAAAATAAAAACCTAACATTAATTTCCAAATAAATAAATAATTTATTATTTAAAGTTGTTGCTTTTCACTACTAACAATATATTTTTCAAATTCTATCATTTGATGTCAATGTTGCTAAATATTTTAAAATGCTTAAATTTTCTTACTACTTGCAATCTACTTATTTCATCCTCCTTTCAATTTTTTCCCTGTTAACTTGTTGTTAAAAAATATTAAAATACAAAATTTTCATGATTTGTTAGTCAATGATTATTCAGAAATCGTGAGATGCGGTCTGGTGTGATGTAGGTTTCAGAAAAGCATTTTCTTCATCGTGCCAACTTTTCGATCTTTATTGAAAACATCTTCAGGGCCTTGTATTGTCTGTATTTCAACAAAAAACAATTCTCTGATTGATATCCGATACAAGTTTCTTCTCATTGTTGGCGATGTCCTTCAGAATACACTTTCCTTGCTGTCCATATGTAGTTGAAATTTGTTCATAGAATCCAATGTTTTTCGTTCTTCTCGTGTAGAAATGTGCGGTGATTTGTGACCATTAGTCGATGATTATTCGGAATGAGCAGATGGGCATCCCTTGGAGTTGTTCGTACAGACAAGTCGGTGATGTTCCTTTTTTAAAACATTTGTTTATTTTGTCCTACATAAACATAATCACAGCAACAGATTGGATAGATTTCATGTACTCAATAATTGGATCCTTTGCGTTTAAATTTGCATGTAAGTTAAATATATTGTTTCTAAATTAAGGAGACATTATTTCTTCTGGGAGTACTGGTTTAAACAGTGTTCTTTTGATTTTAGAAATATGTTTTGTATGTATACTAGCTGTTTATAATGTCAGCCCTACCTGAAGTATCAACTACCGTTACATATTTTGAAGTCCTAACTTTTACATTTTTCATGAATTATCAGGATATTTGTACGGTCTGGGTGAGAAACAAGTTCAGTTTTTACTACCAAGCTTTCGACCTATTTTAAAGACGTCATCAGCTCAAAATCAACTTAATGATACACATTGATGTAATTAAGATTTTAATTTGTTTTGAAATTTCCTTGAAAACCGACTCAATCCTCAAAATGCCAAGGACTGCAACGTTGTCACTATAAGTTTCACTTGTAAAAAAGTAAACACAAAGGCGCATCGAGACATGCTACAAAAATCAAAAATAAATTTTTCTAACGGTTGAAATACCGTGAACATTGGATAAAATAAAGTGGAGTTAAGAATTTATAAGTTACCGGGCATAGGAGAAAAACAAATTGCCCCAAGTTGTTCAAGCCAAAAAATGTCGGTTTTGTTTGCTATAAAAATTCTTATTTAGGAATATTACAATTTGTTTAAAACAAATTAGAATTTAGAATTAATTTTTTTCATTTTTTGCCTATTTTACTAGGGTAGCTTTTTGTTTTCGTAACTTTTTATGTTCAATATCTAGTACAATTCTCCGAAATATTTTCTTACTTAAAGTAAAAACGAATCGACTATTGTACAATAATCATAAAATACACGCAGAATAACGGCAGAAACACTTATTAAATTTTTTTCTCCTAGGCCCCAATGGCAAGAATGCTCGGGCACTTTTATAATATTTTTCAACCTAGTAACATCAAATTAAATTACATTGAGATCGTGATCCCACGTCCGTAGTAAGAGTTTTTCAGGCAAAAATGTAAAAATCATTATCTCACTGCACGTTATTTGCCGAGACAACTACGAACAGAGGGTTGTAAAAATTCATAAAACACAATAGCTCAGACAATAATTAGAGAATTAGAGCAAAATTATAGTCATACAATTTAACCTTTAACTTTTATTAGGTTTCGTGATCCGCTTGACCAATTAAATTCTTTTCAATTAATTAAGATTTTGGTTGAGATAAAAAAGTCAGTGTCACAAGCGGGATTCGAACCCACGACATTCGGCTAAATACGCAGCTGCTCTACCACTTGAGCTATCGTGACTTCGATCCACTCGGACACTAACTTCCCATCTCAACCCCACCATTCGAATTTTCCCTTTTTGCCATTTTTCAAATGTCGTGTAATCTATTTGATTCTCGGCGACAAATGTCTCATTCGCAGCGGCGTATTTAGCTCAAGGTCGTGGGTTCGAATCCAGCTTGTGCCACTTACTTTTTTATCTCAACCAAAATCTTAATTAATTGAAAAGAATTTAATTGGTCAAGAGGATCACAAAACCTAATAAATGAAAAAAGGCAAAATGAAGTCTACTTCACTAACACTACTTATTAATATACTGCTGACATCAAACTTATATAATTTTCAATTTATTTAGTTTAAAAAAAATTTCTTTCAAAATTTGAGGACGAGTCAGAGTCAAGAAATAATAAACCTAATATCAAGGTTAGTAGGCGATAACTTTTTAAAAATATTTAACTTTATATTTTAGATAAGAAATGTATAAACATATGTTCAATGTTGTAAAAACTCCATTGCATTGTGTCTAAAATAATTTTAGTTTAAATTAAAACATGCTGATTGTAGAAAGTTGATGAAATTTGATTCAAGAGATTGGCCTGACTTTTCAAATATTTTAGTAAAATATGTAACATGAAAAAAAAGTGATTTATTCAATTTTCAATTAAGGTAATAGCACAAATAAATAGAAAGAACTAAAGCGTTTTTTTCTAAATAAAAAACGTTTCTAACAATAAAATAAATGCACTTTTAATTGTTCAAATTGAACACTTCATAATTGTGAATAAAACTGCGAATTTTATTTGCTGTATTAACAGTGAAATTTTATCGGCCCAACAGAATTTGAAAAATAAATTGATATATCAATTTTTTTAACGATAAATTTTTGTAAAATTGGAGCTTAGCAGATGGGTTTTAGGAGCATAACTAACTTGAAAAACCAGCCGGTTATGTTATGCCGAAACTTTAAGCTTACTGCTGAGGGCGTTTATGTTTATGTCGTGCACCAAGCCACTTAAATATAACGAGAACTTCTTGAATAGGTAAACTTTATAATCATCGCTTTTTGAGTTTGGAATATATTCCTGGAAAACTTTCAACGCCGTGTACATTTACCACTGGAGGAATGGTTGTCTGGATTCAGCCAAAACATGTTTTTATGGCAGAAGTGATCAACGGCACTTAATTTTTTTTTTCACACGTATTGCTTAATATCCTCAGTATTTGGAATTTTTAAGGTTTCAACGCACAAATTTTAATATAAATATTTTTATTGGCTTTATTTTTGATATTTGCCAGAGAAATGCGATGATGATTGAATTATTTTTGGGGGTGAAAGAGTGAGAGTTAATAAAATTCCTGGGGCAACGGTGGGAACCGAACCCAGGACGATGAGGCAGGGTCTACGTTCTGAGAATCTGGCTCGCTAACCACTCGGCTACCGCAGAAACCCATATTTAATTATTTATATAATTTTTATTTACTGATAAAAACAAACTTACCCTGGGAATGTAGGGGAGAGCATCTTTGAGGGTGTTCCTGTAGAAATGGTTTTTCTGAGTCGGATCTTTCATATTAATTACATCTAGAAACTGGAGCGCCTGGACAGAAGGATCACTAAAACAAAAATGAAATTTAAATTTAAATCCCGTTCATAAAATCACTTTTATAAATATTAATCCATATATGTATTTAATAGTCACATTTCACCGTAATAACGATTTAAATTCAAGTCGTAGAGAATCGAATTCTGATTACACGATATATGAAAATATGACAAAAAGAAGAAAATTAGATAAATCCGAGTGGATCGAACCCACGATAGGTTATCACCTAAAAAGTTCCATTTTGTTTGGATTCCCTTTGTTTCAACAGAACTTTATTAATTTTTATTAATTAATCTTTATATAAGGAATTGGTTGAGATAAAAAAGTCATTGTCACTAGCGGGATTCGAACCCACGACCCTTGACTAAATACGCCGCTGCACTAACCATTTGAGATATCGTGACTTCGATCCACCCGGACATCAACTTCCCATCTCATCCCACCTTTTGAATTTTCCCTCCTTTTTGCCATTTTTCAAATGTCGTGTAATCTATTCGATTCTCGGCGACAAATGAAATGGCCACGTAGAGCTTTCGTGAAAATATACTTAATTTTACTTATTAAATTCATTCTTTTTCTTGGTTCTTGGTCCGATTGACCGAATAACGTTTTTCAATGAATTAATCTTTATATAATAGTATTGGTTGAGATAAAAAAGTCAGTGTCACGAGCGGGAATCGAACCCACGTATGGACTGATGAATCCAAGTTCACCTCTAATTGCATACTAAAACCGTTGTAATTTTCGAACGTGGGCAGAAGAAAATCCGAGAAAGTCGTGTCATCATCAGGTGGTAACAATATTAACGGTTGGTATGGATTCGTCGAAAATAAATTAAGTGTTTCTACGAAAACAATTTAAGTGATGCGTAGTTCCTCAATTTTCTGAGAGATATTTATTTAGAAATCGTGAGATGCGGTCTGGTGTGATGTAGGTTTCAGAAAAACATTTTCTTTATCATGCCAACGTTTCGATCTTTATTGAGATAATCTTCAGGGCCTGGGATTTACAAACATTGTTTACATATAACGATTACATTTAGGATGTGGAAAAGTGAATTTATAAAATGCAAAATATATTTTATATTCAATCAAAGTATTTCTACTTATTCAAAGTATTTGTCTTCTGTGTAATTGTGCCATTCTTGCGTGTCGTTTCGAGAGTGCAGAACAGATGTAAACTCAGTCGCAGCTACGCCAATATCATTAATCAAATTCAATTCAGATAACATACCTATACCTACTACTATTACATTCCACACAACATATATTTTTTACATAGTCTAATTTCCCAACAATTAAGCTTTCCTTTTCCTATTTATCCGTTTCTATATAATCCTGAAAGGATAATCTGGCCGAACTATTACCAACACATTTTTTCCCTTCGTCGGCTTTTTTCACCTCAAAGAAGCCGACGCCTTATACAAAAATGTCTTTCCTATACCGACATCCTTCCCCACCCCTTCAAAATCCAACGTATATAAACACAAAATAGCAAAATCTCGCTAGCATTCTCGACACGCCACGCAAGAATGGCACAATTACATAGAAGACACACACTTTGAGTGAGTAGAAATACATTGATTGAATATACAAAAAAAAAAAATTTTGCATTGTATAAATTCACTTTTCCACATCCAAACTGTAATTGTTATATGTGTAAGCGCGTCTCTTCTGTTTTGGGCCCAACCCTGAATTCGGAGAACCGAAAACGAGGTCCCATAGGTGTTTATGATCGGACCTGACTACAATAATTTAATTTATTGATCAGGCACCTTTTTTTTAATATGTTCCATTCAAATATTCAATTCAAACCTAAAATAAATACGAGACCAAAATATTAATTAAATTTAAATCTTTTATTAAAATCTATTTTCAAACAAGATTACAATTTCTTTTATTAATTATTATTTTTAATTTAAAGAATCTTTTATTCTATAATAAAACCTATTTCAGAATCTACAAACATTAATTTTAAAATCGAATTGAATTCTCGTTTTATAAAGAAAAGTAAAAGAAATTATTATTATTGTTATTATTATTAATGTTTTGACCACCAATTAGAAAATACAATTAATAATTTAACATAACTTTTAAAATCACATGTTATCTCTTTTAGTTTTGTTTACAAAATATATTTTTTGTTACAACCCTTTTTTAAATTAAAATACAATTATTATTTTTAGTTTTTTGACGTCAAAATATAAAATTTACTCACTTGAATTGTGTGCACTCCAAATTTTTCATTATTACCAATTAACAGCTCTTAAACCATGGAGGACAGAAAGGGTATTGTTTTTTTGATAAAAAAAAAATAGCCTTTTTCTAGCCCCTACTCCTTTCACTGTCAGATGTGTCTGGAGGGGCATGGCAGTACATTCAAATCGAAACATTACATATGTAAACAATGTTTGTAAATCCCAGGCTCTGAAGATGATCTCAATAAAGTTCGAAACGTTGGCACGATAAAGAAAATGTTTTTCTGAGACCTACATCACACCAGACCGCATCTCACGATTTCTAAATAAATATCGATTAACGGTCACTAATCACCACACATTTTTGAGAGATGTTTTACCAACAATATTAGATGATGTTCCTCTGCAACCACAACAAAGAACATTTCTCTAGGTTGATGGATGCTCCGCACACAATACTTTGCAAAATGAGAGGTATTTGAATTTTCACTTGCGGGGTATGTGGATAAGACTTCAAGGCCTTATTTGTTGGTATTTGGTCACCTGATTTAAATCCACTTGACTATTTTCTGTGGGGCCATTTAAAAAACAGTGTCTTCGCCAATCATAACCTAGCAACTTCAGTTGAAGAATCGCGACAAAGGATAGAGATGTCATCAATCCATCTACCCTGACTATGAGCACCGGTGGTGAGGAATCAAAAAGAACAAATCTTTTCATCTTTAAGCATGGCAAGCAGTTCGAACATGAAATGTGATTGATAAAAGCGAACCAAATGATTGTTTTTCCAATTTTTTTGCCATATCTTTGTCATTTTTGACTTTGAAATCCAATTGCATCGTTGCAAAAAAGCCATTAAAATAGTGTGTCAGGATGGATAGGTTCATATTTGATATTTTGAAGTTGAACTAGGCCTGATGTACCCTGTATAATTTTTCTTAAAAAAAATCAAAATTTCAAACTAAAAAAAAAATATTTAAACATTTTTTTGTGTCATTGGTTCAAGGGAAATGCAGCCGGGCCATCTATAAAGGACACTCTGCACATAAATTAGTTATGTATTATTATTAGTATTATAATATTACTTTTACGATGCAGGAGTCACACTAGCTAAAATGGGAGCTTTGGAACAACGCACAGGTCTAATAAAATATATATCACATAAAAATGCCCTCCATTAGAGACGAAAATAATATGGTACTTAGAAAAATCAATTTCAAGCATTGTACACCCAGTGTCATACCTTTGAGAATAATTCTATGCTTCAAAACGGATGTTTGTCTTCTCTTTTTGACTCTATTTCATGCATTCGTCGCCTAGTTCTAATTTTTATTTAGAAGAATCTTTCAGTAAATCGTCTTTTTTACAATAGCATAATTATCTCTGATATTTTATCTTTGTTTGTTTTTATGTTTTCATTTATTATTTGTTATGTATTAAACAAAAATTCTACAAAATTTGTAGGTTATAGATAGGTAAGCTTGGTTTAGCATTATTTTCTAATAAACAGTACTAACTAAAAGAGTAGAGTAGAGTAATCAAGTTGAAAATCGGAGTGACGAGCCTAAATTATTTTTATTAATATAATTTTTTGTAAAAATGTAGGTACTTTACATCGGTCTGTTTGAACAGGATGGAAAAAATATGAACTTAGATATAGCGGACGAGGTTGAACAAGATACATAAACGATACGGAAGCGTTTTGATGGATGATCAGCGATGGATGAAAAGTGTATTCTGTACGATAATATTGTCCTGCATCCATCAGTTTAGAATGAGCATCCATTACCCAGTTCTAAAGGAGTGGATCAAATAAAGAAAAACGTGAGGCGCATCTTGTGGGATTGAATATAAAACCCCTTAAGTTCATTAACTTGCCAAGCACGAAATGGCTCATTAACTTAATGCACCTATGAAGTTAAGAAAGGTATTCTTTTATTTTCAATAGTCATCCTTTCATGGTGGAATGATCAGGCTGTTTTATGATGTCCTTAAGATCCTTCTTCTCTTATAAAGGACATAATGCATACGGTTTTATATATTTCGTCCTGGAATTTTTAGATCAATGGCCGAAAAGCTTTTCGGTAATGAAAGTGCTTGTAATATGGAAGAAATATGCCAATAAAACAGGTAGTATATCGTGGATTTATTGTTGGCCACTTCCCACAAAGAATTGGGCTATTAATTTAACAAAAATTTCTAATAAATACAATCTTTTATAAACAATAATTATTTATGTTTATTAAACAAAAACAAAGTCAATTTTTTAATCCCATATTTGACTCAGTTCTCTGTCCTCCTTTTGCAAATACAATAATTTTTCTCGTCGTTGTCGTTGTTGCGAGTCAAGAGCAAGACCGGTAGATGACCCTCAGAGAACCTGAGCAGGAAATGAGGGATCGTTGTAACCCTACTGAGGATAGGCCATACACGGTTGACATATGGGCACCTGCTTTTGGGTCAAAGCCCGCGCAGGTGCCCCTTATGCAGAGAAAGGTTACTCGATGTGTTTCACATAATAGATGCGTGGCATGCCTTGGCTCCATACAGAAAGCGTGTAGGCATGACGCCGAACTTAAGAAGAGTTCTCGAACACGGTAGCGAGTTTCAGAGTCCCCTGTCCCGTTTTGTAGGGGAAATGGGAGTTTTTTATTGTATATAATATTTCTAATGTGTTGTGTCTATATGTTTTGTCTGAGTGCATGTATTTATTAGCGTGAATCGCGATGGGGGAGGGTGAAATATAACGTCAGCATCGCCCCTCGAACGGAGAGAGCGTAAGAGTGTGCTCGGGGTCGATGGCGGAATATTTA